AGTATGGTTTTGACCACATTTCGGTCGCCATTTTATCTTCTCCAAGTCAGTCACCATGTATGATTTTTAACCATATTTTAAGCAGATRTACTCCAGAAATTTGACTTGAATAAGACTTTCAACACATATTCGATACTAGACTTGACGTTTGAACCTAATCAATTAGTTGTTGAAGAATGAAAAAGCGTATTTTCCTGTACGTAAATTATGTAAACATCTCGACCAAGAAAGAGCTGCGAAACAGTGCTGTGACCAAGGTAGCTCAAGCGTATCGTGCATGCGCATTGAAATGGCCCCTTGTTAGAAGTAACTGGAAATAAGGTAGAATACAAGGTAGGAGTACTTCCTCTGGTTTCAAGTTACTTCACGTGGTACAAATTACAATCAGGGATTGGCTGAATACCTCATGAATAATTAATGAGTTTTTGAAGTAATATATCTAGGCCATAGTTTCGTAGTAACACTAGAGATAATAAACTTTAAAAAATACGATATACTTTTTTAATCTTAACATGTTACAGCATTACATTATGCCATCCTCAGAAGAATGAGAATAAAAGTCGTTACAAATGATTATATAGTCTAGGTACAAATGATTGACATGTAATATAATATGAACTAAAGGAACTTAGCGTGACTAATAAAAATAACAAGATAACCAATACATGTTATCCGTTATCCCTATTTATAGATAATATGACAGCTACAGCCAGTTTAAAAAAAGTTTTCATATGTATATCTAGGCCCTCATTCACTTGACCATTGCAAGCTGTGGCTGATGTTTTTAATAATATGTTTCTTATTTTAGTGATGGTTTGGTGTTTTTATTACCTGGCAATTCACCCAGAAATCCAGGAAAAAGTTCATTACGAATTGTTAGAGGTTCTTGGTGAAGAAGAAATCACACCACAAATTACCAGTGATTTGAAGTAAGGATTTATTATATCTTAATTGTAGACTCCTCTGGCCTGCAGCTTTGAAATGAAAATTTCACATTTTACATTGCAACCAAAATGTCGAGCTGCAAGTGGTAAATTGATGTAGCGTTAACGATGTACAAGAAGAAATAAGCTGTAGTGACCTCGTTTTCCTGGTTATTGATTTCCATAAACTCACTGGTACAGCTTTGATTTGATATAATTACATTCTTGAATTATGGAATACATCATATTTTGTACTATTACGTTACAGATATTGCCGGCAAGTAATTGATGAAACTTTACGATGTGCTGTGGTTGCACCATGGGGTGCCAGAGTGCAGATTGACCATGACCTTCAGATTGGAGAATACGTTGTGCCAAAAGAGGTAGATGGATAAAAATGGTCAATTAATTTTTAAAAGGCTATGGTAATAGCCTTATAAGAAATCTATTTAGCGATTTAAAAAAAGGTTTACTATACCGAATACCGTTAGTGCATACTGAGTATATGCATTGTTTTTTGTTATATCAACACCTGTAGATGGGGTTTTCCATTTTTCTTGGCGACTATGCCAGCTCTTTCGATAGCAACAATGCCTTTCATGGAATCGAACTTTTTTTCTTTTCATTTCCTTTTTTTTAATCTTCACGAAATATAGCTAGGTCATTTCATTCTTTTTTGTATATTATTTGTACTTCAGATTTCTTTATTCAATCCAGAGTGTTGTACGAGTTGCTAATGTAACGAAAGTGATCACTCAACAATGCTAATGTTACAGATACAGCATAGACGCTACGACCGGGTCCCTGTGTTCTTAAAAGTCACTTGCAGCCAACACTTTTTTTACACTCATACGAAATTTGCTTTATCCAACACCTTCATTTGTGATTTAGACACCCATTCTGACACCATTTGGAGTTGTGCTTCAAGATCCTGAGATTTTTCCTGAACCTCAGCGGTAAGATTTTATACAGTTACATAGTTTACTGTGATAAATTTAAATCGATGTCAAAATGAGTGTGAATTGCTCCCCAACATCCACTTATAATTATTAGTATTTTGCTTATATCTTATCAGGCGCTAATTAGTTAAGAATTGTTTCACACTTATGTGGCGTGCACTCTATTCCATGCGCTTGCGCGAATTGGCGGAGTTTTGTTATGAAAGTTGTACAATTGATTGTATTTCATTAAAACAATCACCTTCATCATATCGCAAACACTCTGGGAACAAAGASACAATAAAAATTTATGCTTGATTGATGCTAAGCTTGCACAAAAGAGAATTCGAAACTAGAGAATTGCTCATTAATCGGCCATCATCCCATGTGCTTTTAGAGTCATTTTCATCCGTCTGTGAAATAGGAATTGTAATATTTAATACTATTACTCCCTATTAGCTCCAAATAGTTTAACTTATGACATGCGACAAACAATTAGGCAAAAACAGTTTTGATTTTGCCTTTTGGTAGCTTACTATACCCTAATATAAACACTGACTAGGAGTAATTGTTCACAGACGGATGAAAATGACTCTATCACAGGAAGTAATCGGGTAAACTTTAACGTCGAAACAATATTTATTAGCGAGAACCACTTCGTGGAATATATTTTGATCAGCGTCGTGATTGATTTGATAGATTCTGTGTATAATTTTTCCACTTATTCTGGCTGAAGATTTTTGTGGTTACTCCCGTCCTTAGGACGTGGAGTATCCACTATGTTATCGCCCGATGTAAGGTGTCTGTAACAATATGATGTCACAATAGCATGAGGTCAAAACATTAATATTCAACTTTACGATGAAGACAAAATGGCGAACAGACGGCGGCAAACAGTTGTCTCCTTTTAAATGGCTCTAAAATGCAGCTAAAACGCTCAAAAGAGCTGARACTTATGCACAAAAGAACTGATTATTATCCAATGGAAGGAGGTATATAATTCAAGATTATTGGCTTATTTATGCAGAATTTTTTATTTTCTACCGTAAATTGTGTCCAACTATTTAGTTGTGATTACTGAGCAATCGATTTTTGGGATATACCGTATGCAAACTCTGTGTCACACGGAACATTGCCACAACGATAAAACTTCATTAATGACAAAACCAAACGATTTTCGCTACAAATACTTCATTTAATAAAAAAATATTCTGCTATAAATATAAGGCACATTGGGAGTAACCGCATGCGCTTTTTGAGCGCCTTTAATTATCATTGCAGCGAAAATTTAGCATACGGATTGTATCTGCATTATATTCTGAGAATTTAAAAGAAGGAAGGTCACGCATTTTAGAAAGAACTAGACGCATACTTGCGTGAACTCGGGTTCTTGTTGATAAAAATCTAGTAGTGAATCCGCAATATAAATATTCAGCGTAAATTGTTATATCGATAAAGTTTGTTGTGAAACTTTGAATATCTGTGAATATTGTGGCGGATTCGATAATAAACAATCCGTCTTAGCTTTCTACTTTAGTTATGTAGCGTCGTTTTGGTATCCTTCTGGGCTCACGAGTACGATTACAACGTATATATATAATTATAATAAACAAACGTTGAATAACGAGATCTTGTAGTACTTGTAATCTTTATTATAAAACTTATTAATAATGCATAAGCTATTGCTCCAATAAGGGCTGACTATTTAATCAGGTGATTGACCTTGTAAATCTGATACAACCACTAGTGTTGTATCAGATTTACAACACGGTCGTCACCATTGAGACAACCCAGCACTAGCAAAGGTCTCAGTTTTAGTGTCGCATCATAGACCTTCACTAGGTTTTGAAGCAATCAAAGACGGATAACAGAACTCGCTTATGCAACAGATGGCTTGCTTTCCATGTGGGATGGATAATTATTCAAAATGTTCTGTGTTGCAGTAAATTGCGCATGCTTAATAGGGACTAAACTCAGCAGTTACCTTATTTGTCATTTTTCGTCATTTATCTCACTGTAATTCATGTTAATTTGTGTTGGAGTTTTATAAGTCGTTTACAACATTCGCGTCCGTGTTGTATGGGAATTACAATCTCTCGCCTGCGGCTCGAGATTGTAATTCCCATACAACACGGCCGCTCATGTTGTAAACTATACTTGTGGCTTATGCATCATTGAGTTTTATCTAAGATATCGCAATCACTAAACGATGAAGTGGTCGAATAATTCGACTGTATTGACCCTAATATTTAATATTAATGCTATCAAAAGGGAACAGCAAAAAATATTTCATGGAATGAAAAATAATAACAGAAGCAATATATTGTACTTGATAGAATTGATCTTCGGCAAGCTGGTCGACGTCTCACTTTGATAGTCACATGGCAAGCTATTAAAACACAGAGTCCTTTATCTTTTGCGCGTAATAAAATACTTCCAATCGTCGTTTTTTTCTCAGTAGAATTCTGATGGCATTCCTTAGATAAGGCCTTTGCAGTTTCTGAGYCTGTATATAACTATAATATTTAAAGTTAAAGAAAGAAAAAGAAACGATGAAAAAGGATTTAGACGTTCTCGATTCGAGGATCGAACCTGCGATTCTGAATTCGCTAAACTGCGACGTGGAAAAAAAAATATAAATATTGTCGCTGCATTTGACCTGGACACGGTAAAAAGACAGTCTCAGCAATGACTAACGGAGGCTGTGACCCTCTCGTTTGTTAAAATCCTCATTTATTCGTAATTTATATCATCGTAAAATCAGTAACGTGTAAATACCAGATGACTAACAAAGCTATTTGACTTTGTATAGATTCGATCCTGATCGTTTCGCTCCGGAAAATGTCAAGGACCGCCCTTCCCTCGCTTACCAGCCATTTGGATTTGCCGGCAAACGAAAGTGTCCTGGGTGGAGGTTTTCTATTGCCGAAGGTCTGGTGTTTATGTCTGTGTTCTTTAGACGATTCAAAGTCGACTTGGTGGAGGGACAAAAGGTTGAACCTGTGTATCGTCTCGTCACCTCACCTAAAGAAGAATTTTGGATTACCATCGGTCAAAGATAAAGATAAAGTAGAATATACTGTCTAACTATTAGATTACGGATAAATATCTAGGACACTCTGGAATCTTCTTATGTCCCATAATCAACGTCGAGCATAGTTTATGTAAACCCAAAGCTATTTTAAAATAGGTTGTCAGAGAAAGTACACAGCCAAATTTATAGGTATTCAATACTGATAGACGATAATCATTCATCTGCTGAAACTATGGTCAAACCATCGTCGAATCTTRCCATCAATAATCAATGATGACAGCAACTTTCGGTCGAGTATTGTTCAATCTCTCCGACAACCATTTTTGAGTACCAGGTGCCGATTATGGCCCTCTTATAACCATCAAGGTACTGTCATTTACCTTTTCACATGACTTATTAGTTTACACGAATGAAACTTTGAACCTATAATCCTGGACAAAAAATGTTGGCAGTTTTTACGCACTTCACCTTCCTCGTGCCCCCTTCCCTCCAATACAATGTTTGTGGCTTTCTTTTCAATTGCTGTCCATTCATTGCCCCCTGCTTGTAACATTGATGTTGGAGGGAGGGGAGGGAAGAGGAATATTTTCAGTAGATGCGCGCCACACAGTGTTTATAAAGCCGCGGCTATACGGCTATATTGCGCAGGCGACGCGATTTTCGGGTAAGATGAAAGCTGAACATCGAATTTGAGCTTTTTTTTAATATACTCTTTATGGAGATTCAAATATAGCATTGTGTAGCCACATGGTGCGCTGGTGATATTGAGAAAATCGCTTCGCCTGGACAAGCGAAAAAGCGCTCGTGTAGCCGCGGCTTAATACCCAARTGAAAAATTGTCAAGTATTCATGTCCAAGATTATAGGCGTCAGGATGCACTGAACATAAGTGAATGATTTATGTAGTTCAGTATGCCTTGATCCAATATTGTGATAGCTGGAAACTGTCAATTTTAGTATATTATAGAGGTTTTACAATATTTTGAAAACTGTTCTAGAGTGCAAATCCTTCACACGCTCCGAATACTGCTAATACGGAAGCGAAAGGTGTGGACACGAAAGGTTTTCTATCCAATTGAATACATTTTTGGGTTAAAAAAAATTTCCGGCCATATCGGAAAACACAGCGGCCGAAAGGGGTTTTGGAGTCGTTTTTGGTTATTTTAGTCGACTAAAATAGGAGTTTTATTCGGCTTGTGCTGTTCGGGTTTATACCAGGCCAAGTGAGTGAAGAAAAAAAATGAAATGTTTTGTGTCTCAACTATCACACTAAATGACCTAACTCTAAAAAATTAAAATRATTAGTAATACTACTTTTTATAATTTTATGCTAATTCTTTTGTTTTTGTTCAACTAGCAGAATTTAGTAATTAGCGTTACTAAATTACTGAAAGCACTCTAGTGGAGTGAACTCACTTGAAAAAATGTACAACGTAGTTGATAGATTATGCAAATTCCTTTGTTTTCTATTGCCTAATCAACGCTAGAGTTTTCACCCTCATTAAGCTGTTTGAAAGAAATTGGCATAATTCATATCAATATCTATTAAACAATTGAGTATTTTAATTGAGGATGGTATGCTGTGATAGTTACCCATGAAAACTGGAAGTTCCGAAAAACAAATAGTCATCAAAGAACGCAGTTCGGGAGGGCGACCAAGACGTTTTGAGGAACATCCAGTTTCCAAGGGCAACTATCACATCAAAATGCCCGAGATTTAAACTACTAACTCAGTTTTTGTTTTTCAACAGCACAAATTTTCTGAAGCGGCGGCACTATTGCGTCACGTGCGCTATTCTCCATCAGTGAGAGCGGAGGAAAATTCGTTGTTGAATTTTAGTAATTTTTTCTAGACCAGCTTTCGAAGGTTAGTCCTAACAGTAAATTCGCCCTCCATTTACCAAGAATTTTTCTCTAGAGCGAAAACGATGTAATCGATAAATTATATATTTTATATGAGATAGTATAAAAGATATTGAAAATGATTATTGAATGAAATAATACTATACTAAATATATAGAGGCTTTGAATAAATAACTGATCGTTTTCTGTATTGTATTCTGTGCTGAACGTATATCATCTGATCCGCTAAGCAGGGGCCGCGGAGACGGGGGGCTGGAGGGGCCGCGGCCCCACACTTTTTGCTTCCGAAAAATTAAATGAAATCGGTAAGATTAAAATAAAAAAAATACAAAACTTTTATATCGATGATCAGAGTGACGGTATTAAGACACATATTAGGCCGCTCCGCGGTCACTGATAAGGAGTGATTCCATTGATCGTTTTCAACCATTTCCATCATATTAAAAAGATGAAAGACCGGCGGCCATGTTGAAGGAATGAAGAATAGATACTAATGAGAAATCCTTTGTTAAAGTTCCTCTAAGATGGCCGCTATGACGTAACTTTAAAACGAAAATATGTAAAATAACGGAAGAAGACATAATTGCTCTTAGTTAGCAAGGTTAGCATACCTGGTTGTTAAGCATAAGGGCTCTTTCGTTTGTTTCTTCTTTTGACTTTAATGAGCTCATTCTARGTTGACGGAGACAACGAAGAAATGCTGGCCCAATAATCCAGTTTCGAATTCTCCAATGCTCTGTGTTAGCCTCATTTGTGCGCAAAATATTCCTAATTGTGAGAATAAAAGTGTGARATTTCAAATCAATTCTGTTGTCTTTCTTTTGGAATTCCATGCGTTTTCTCGGGCTATCAATAAAACAAAGGAATATGTTGCTTGGTTTTTAGGCTAACACAGAGTATTCCTTTGTGAACTTCATTCTTTGCATTTTGAATTTTAAAATGCCTACAGCTCAAAAWTGTTATTTTTCTAAACAGAAATGTGCGTTTGGGTGCGAGGGTGCTACCACTGATAGGTCTTTGGGAATTATATAACCACTATTCCATAATAAGGGAAAAAGAAAAAAAGCTTGAAAATCAAATTCCATCTCGACATGATGTTGAAATGATTATGGAGAAGCAAAAAATTAATGCCTTTGGATATGTTCTTGCCCAATGATTTTCTTTTAACCAAGCAAGTCTAACTCAAGATAACCATTTTTCGGTTTTCGGTTTGTCGCAAAACTRTATTGCTGAAACTAGTAACTTATCGTGTGCAAACCAAAAACGATGCTCTTGTATATCCAAATTACTGTACTTGGAAGCGAACATCCGTTTAACATTTTATCAGAAATTAAGCATTGTTTCAAACTTTATGTACGGCACTTAGAGTAATGCAGAGGTCTTGGCAAAAGCGGTCTCGAATTATCAGTGTATGTGGAAAGATGTTTTAAAAGTTCTAAAAGCTGGTAAGSATTTTCAAGATTGATCATAAATGGGACGGATCCAGAGGATATTCATATAAAATCCTATTATTTTTTTCAAAACGAGGACCTGATGAAGAAGCAACCAACTATTAGAAATGTCAGTATTCAGGAGCTTATCTGCGCTTAATCCAAGCAAAGCACAAGGCCTGACGGCATTCAAGGTTGAGTTCTCAAGGAAAATGCAGACCTTCTGACTGGCCCAGTTAGAGACATTCTACRTTCCTCATATCTCGAAGGGCGTCTTCCCGCCGCATTGAAAGAAGCTGACATTGTTCCTGTGCCAAAAACAGAGCCCATCAAAGATATAAACAAGCACTTGCGCCCTATATCTCTTAGTCCTATACTGTCTAAAATCGCCGAGGACCATATCGTTACGTTAAACCAGTTGTTCTCAGGAAAATTTGATGAGCGTCAATTTGGTGCCATTGCCAAGTCAATACAACGCTCGCCCTTATTAGTATGAATCTATCTATTTAAAAAATAGCAATTCCTAAAGACCAATATAGTTATAATACAATTTGTAAAAACACTGCTTATATTCCTGAAAAGCTTCCATTTGTATATAATTTTTGCCTACGATCGAGTCCAAATTTGAGGTGCATCCATGCACAAATTACTGCCCGGGGGAGGGGGGGAAGGGGGGTTATCAGCATTTCAAACTTTCTTTCGGCATTGTTCGCATCATGCTGGACTCACATACTGCTCTAAACAGTTCTATCTGGTGGACTCAAGAGCTCAGAGAACTTTAAAGAAGAAACCGGCTGAGGAGGACTGGGGCGAGGAAGGAAAATTAGAACATTTGACCAGTCGCCCCTGACTGAAAACACGGGAGAATCTACGTAGTACTCAGTTGATGTAATATATTCATAAAGATATAATACAAAACACATAATAGAACGAGAAACAATGGAATACAATACATTTTATGAATACATTGGTTACATCAACTGCGTGCTACGTAGGTCACCCCGACTGAACACATTGCTTTCCTCTCCGGTACCMCAAAATACACMTCAATCMAGCTCAATATCATGATTTTTCAACRGCATCTGGGAACTTGTGAGATTCGGAAGGTTGTAGTATTGTGAAATATTAATATAAAAATAATAATACTAGTATCACATGTACCGTTTTCGATCTTAATTTCTCATACTCATTAATTATTCATGAGGTATCCAGCCAATCCTTGATGTAATGTTTAAAGTCCTCCAATTCGGACTGGACGGGATTTCAAGTCCGCGCAATTAGTTCCAGTCCGAACGACTTCTCATACTCATTAACTATTCGGGAGGGGAAAAAAGCGAAGGAAATACATATAACAGAAATATATTGATTTATTGCATCTCCACCGAGGCTTTCAGTTTTCATAATTTTGAATAAAGAAGCACCGTTTGTTGTTTCCGAACAGCTTTCTGAAACAAAAGCTTTTCAAATTGTCTTTGTTTGCTTTTCATGGCATTCCTAATGAGCCTAATTCATAAGTTTTATAAGTGTGCTATCNGATAGCACACTTATAAAACTTATGAATTAGGCTCATTAGGAATGCCATGAAAAGCAAACAAAGACAATTTGAAAAGCTTTTGTTTCAGAAAGCTGTTCGGAAACAACAAACGGTGCTTCTTTATTCAAAATTATGAAAACTGAAAGCCTCGGTGGAGATGCAATAAATCAATATATTTCTGTTATATGTATTTCCTTCGCTTTTTTCCCCTCCCGAATAATTAATGAGTATGGAGAAGTCGGCTAACGCCTCGGACTGGAACTAATTGCGCGGACTTGAAACCCCGTCCAGTCCTCATTGTCGGACTTTAAACATTATTTGTCAAATTCTAAATCGATGAGTCTTTTCTTTCTCTTCTTTGCTCACAGGCATTCTCAAAATAGCAACGTCTACAAAATATTCTAAAAAAATTCACTCTTTCAATCATGATTTTCATACAGAATAACTACACATTAAACATGACTATATTTATTTATTTTTATATTTTATTTGACGCCAAACACAAGGAAGCACGAAAAATATCGTTGCCTTTAGAGCAGTTCACACATAAGCTAAAAAGACATAAGCTAAAGACGACTTTAAACATTATTTGTCAAATTCTAAATCGATGAGTCTTTTCTTTCTCTTCTTTGCTCACAGGCATTCTCAAAATAGCAACGTCTACAAAATATTCTAAAAAAATTCACTCTTTCAATCATGATTTTCATACAGAATAACTACACATTAAACATGACTATATTTATTTATTTTTATATTTTATTTGACGCCAAACACAAGGAAGCACGAAAAATATCGTTGCCTTTAGAGCAGTTCACACATAAGCTAAAAAGACATAAGCTAAAGACATAAGCTAAAGACATAAGCTAAAAAATACACATCGAGAATAGACTTCAGGAATAAAAGGGATGAAGAAGACAATAACTTCCTCTAATCTTTCTTTTGTCTTAAGTTTAGGAACAGAGAGCTAGTTTCGATCCAAGAAAGAAATATTAATAAAATTATTAAATACTATTCTAGTGAAAACATTTCTTTGTGCTTTCTCTTTTTTTTTTTTTTTTTTTTTTTGTAAATTCTTTGGCAAAGACAATTATCGGCTTTGAATTATAAAAACTAATATTCAAGTCATACAGTCGAGAAGTCAATTTTCATGAGTCACGAGTCAACAAGTCGTGAGTCAACGATTCAAGTATTGCATAATTTATGTCTAATTTTTCAGTAGCCTCCTTTAGCAGCCGCCACTGTGTCGTCACGCAACGCTACTCCCCGACTGCTAAAGGAGGCTAATTTTCCAGTTGTCAGAATAATTATTTGTTTATACTCTGTTAGACCTCGCCACCTAATTTCTTCGTTTCATAGCATCCCGGGGGGGGGATATATTCGCTATACGGGGACGTGCGCCAACCGGGGTATCGTTTTCAGCGATTTTACTCTGGAACTGGGTATCGTTTTCAGTGATTCTACTCTGGAACAGGGTATAGTTTACAGCGATTTCACTCTGGAACAGGGTCAGGGTTTTGAGGTCCCAGCGCCACACCCCCACCCATGTTTGGAGAGAATACATAGCATGTACAATTGAAATTGACCTTTAGAATGTACCCGTACATAATTGTCTTATTATCACTACAGGTTCAACCGACGTCTCACTTCAATGCTAAGGTTCGAAAATTGTTAAATATCAACGTCTGCTAGCTCAGAAGAAACAARAGTTGCCATCATTGTACTTGTGGTGTACTTAAATCCTGATGCACTTGAATGAAATGATATTAAGTTTATCCCTTCTTCTGCGATTATACTAATATCGATCCGAATCTGATAGTGTTTTTTCTTCTTTCCCTAACATTTGGCTGAGAAGCCTGAAAGAAATACAACAGGAACTCACGATAAGACAAACATGAATAAGAACGATGTACAGAGAATGGAAGGAAAGATGACGGGACAACTGGCGACTGTGCGAGTAACAACACTATATAAAGAACCATGGGTGAGTGATGATGGAAAAGTGCAGACAGGGAAACTAATGACAGTGCATAACAACGCTCTAATACGTGAATGGGGCAAGTGATGTCGTGGCAACCATTGACTGTGCTAATACGTGAACGGGGCAAGTGATGGCGGGACAACCGTTGACTGTGCGAGTGACAGTGATAGAGGATGATGGTAAATGGTTGGGTCAGCCCAGACAACATAGCCTGCGTAGAGGCTAAGGGAGGGGAGTCGGTGGAGGAGGGGACCAAAAAACAAGGCTCTTGTTTTTCCACTCCTTCCCTGACCCCCCACTCCCCCCCCCCCCCCCCCCCCCATTTCCCTCATTCCCTCCCCCTTCCATTTTCCCCCTTCCCTCCTCCCCTAGAGCCACTAC